ATTGTTATTGTTCAAGCAGTTTGTATTGTTGTGCACTATTTCGATCAGTAGAAAATTACTTGCCGCCAAACCGTTGAGTGCTGCCAAAAGAAACCATAAGTAAACATTTATCATTATGATATAGTTATTAGACGAATTATCGAGGTTTCGCGGTGACGAAACGCAACGCAAAACGTAGTTTTGTCTTTCGTCAATTAAAATCTTAAATGACGAAATGATGAAACTGACGAAAGGTGATGATACTGAAACTGCAAAGGATGATAAAACCAATAAAAGGAGAAGGTACAGATATATGTTTTGAAACTCATTGAAGATTATGTGAATAAAAAAATAAACTAAGAAAAACGAAAATTAATAAAAGTTACAAATAATTTTATTATATTCTAGGCGCTTGAATTGTTTAAAGCGAGTATTCTATATTGTATTATATTAGTACACTACATATCAATTCTAATGAGAAATCGCTTGGTGCTTACGTCTTGTAAATTTACTAGTGTCAGTATGTTTTAATTCATTATTTGTGTTATTCCATGAGTACTATGGTTTTTTTGACGATGCTATTTCAACCGGTCCTTAACGTTGTCCAGAAAAGGTTTCATCTTTCATCATCATGTGAAAAAAGCTTCATCTAACCTACCCTGATCACAGCCAAACAAATAGTAGGTTATTTCCTTGTTAGCTTGTATTACTCGTGCAAATAAGTAAAATCAGGATGGCCCTGAAGAGTAAGAATCGGTGCACTACCAAAATGGGAACAATGAAGCACTTATTCTTCTCATCAGGATATATGTTTATTGAAGAATAATACGTTATCGTTATCTTATAAATCTAAAAGCATTTTTCGCATGTATGGCATTAAAATAAGATAGATTAAATTTAAAAATGGTATAGTTTTAAAAACAAAATTGCGGACGCGCATATATAGTTAACAGAAAGAAATATCGAATTTTTACTTTATTTTCGTTTCAACAAGAATGAATGTCTTAAACAATTTTTTAAATACGAATAAAAACAAAGATGATATTACTTCACTTTTTCATGTTCATATACCATTCAGTACAGGCTCGTATAGACCCATATTTTCGGGTAATTGTGAAGCTTTAGGATATTGGAAACCTAAAGTATGGCCGCATCAAACTCAAGATCCTACTCTTTGGGTATCTGATCCTGTGCAAATTCCACACTTGTATGTTGAATACAAATATTATCTAGTTGATTATCAAAAATGTAATTTTAATATTTAGCTGCATGCGTAATTGTATTATAGTGTAACAAAACAAATATTTACTGCGCTTCCTTCGATGGCCATAGAGCCTAATCACATGAGTACCTTTGCATTGCTATCGCATCCATGGAGCCTAATCACAACGTGAGATCCTTGCACTGCTATCATAGCTAAGGTGCTTAATAATCAAACATGAGGCTCTTGCACTGCCTGCGACAGCCATAAACAACATGAGGTCCTTGCAGCCACAGAACCTAATCACGACGTGAGATCCTTGTACTGCTATTATATCTTTGGACCTATAATAAAAAAAAGTAAAATTCTATTCAGATTTTGTTCAGATTATTATTTTAAAAAATATGCGTTTTTCTTAATAAAAATCCGAACAAAATCTTAAAAAAATTTATACTTTTTTTTATGGAGTGCTCAATCACCAAATATGATGTTCTTGCAGACATAAGGCCTAATCACAACATGATGTCCTTGCATTGCTATTGTAACCATAAAGCCTAATCATAACATGAGGTCCTTGTACTGCATACTACAATATCAGGTATAGTACACTTATCTCTAACTCCCTTTAAGCAACTCA